GTGCTGTGCCATAAACAGAGCTTTGAATGGCAACATCAGAACTTCACTGTTAATGTCACTTGTGATCTAAGAAATGCAAATAAAAGTAGCCATGAGGCACCAAAGATTTAAAACCATCAGAATTCACTGCTGATGAGAAGACAGACTGGTAGGATTCTTTTGGAAAACAAAGTGCATATTTCTCGAGCCTTGTATATTTTTCTATCACTTATCCCAATAATTCTGCTTCTGAGAGTTTGGATACTGGAAAGAAGTAAAAGTGCAAAGATGTTCATCAAGCGTGGTTTATAATAAGGAAAACCTGGAAATGATCAATGTGTTCAAGAGTAAAGAAATGCCTAGACAAACAAGAAAGCATCCACTTTTTTTTTTCCTTTTTCTTTTATTATTCATATGTGCATACAAGGCTTGGGTCATTTCTCCCCCCTGCCCCCACCCCCTCCCTTACCACCCACTCTGCCCCCTCCCTCTCCCCCCCCAATACCCAGCAGAAACTATTTTGCCCTTATTTCTAATTTTGTTGTAGAGAGTATAAGCAATAATAGGAAGGAACAAGGGTTTTTGCTGGTTGAGATAAGGATAGCTATACAGGGCATTGACTCACATTGATTTCCTGTGCGTGGGTGTTACCTTCTAGGTTAATTCTTCTTGAACTAACCTTTTTTCTAGTACCTGTTCCCCTTTTCCTATTGGCCTCAGTTGAGAAAGCATCCAGTTGATGGAAAATAACATAAAGGATTTAAATACTGTTTACAAAGATGATGCAATTTTTGTGATATGATGCATATATAATGTTAAATGAGAAAAGCAGAATAAAAATTCTACAATACAAAAGCAGCTATGTAAACAAATCAGCCATGTAATAGAAGACCAAAATATCTTTCCTGTGATTATGTTTACATAGTTGGTACTTTGGAAATGAAAAAGAAACCTAACACAAAGCACTCTCTGTAGCTCCACGCTGATTAGCAATGGCTGACATTAGATTCAACACAATCTTTTTTCTGCTCACTTTTCCATCTCTTTGTCTAGCATATTGATAGTGCATAAATTACCCATAAAGAAATGTGGGATTTTTACTAATAATGCATGAAATCTCTAGATAAGACACCAACAAAACATCTTTCAAATATTTTTATTATGTTCAACATTATTTTTCTGTACAAAATCACACAATCATTTGGAAAAATGCAGAAAAATAGAACTATGGAAAGCAAGGGAAACATTTCCTTTCATTCTTTAAATCAGAAATGTTGATATTTTACTATAAAGCTAATAGATTTTAGCAGAAAGAACTGCTATGTTAACTTGAAACAAGTGTGTGTACCTCTGACATAAAGCTATGATGTAATATTTTATTGCTAACAAAGCAAAGTCATTTACAGACTGTGTATGTTTAAGAGAAGTCAATAGTTGTTGAGTTGTTTATAATAAGGAAAAACTGGATATGAGCAAAGTTTTCAAGGGTAAGGAAATGCCTAAACAAACAAGAGTGCATTCACTTAATGGAAAGTAGCATGGTTTAAAATACTGCTTACAATGACAATGCAATTTTCAAAATATTATATTTTTACTATATATGTATATATATACATATATAGTGAAAAAAAAGAAAAATAAAAATTCTGGGGCTGAGTGGAGTTGTGTAGTAGACTTGCCTTCATTGATCTTAATTGGGAAAACAACTTTTTTTAACTATTGTTTTTCTTGAGGCTGTATCCCACCAGAGACATGTTACAAGCAAAACCAAACTAGATTTCACCAGCAGGTTCAGACACAGAGCTGGAAGACCAGCTTACATTCCCCCTGCATTCCCCCTGTGATTAAGGATGGGGCCATATTCTATTCACTTCTCAGCAAAGCACTTGCCTTGGAGCATAGCAGATGCTCAGTAAACATAGGCTGAAGTAAACTAACGACTCCGGTTCGAATTCCTACTCTATCACTTATTAGCTAGAAGCTGCCTTCTATATTCTGCATCTTAAACGTCCTCCAAAGACCATGTGTTATAGGCTTGGACACCAGCCTGACTTTTGGGAAGGAATGGAAGTTTTAGGAGGTGGGGCCTAGTGGAAGAGAGTTAGGTCATTGGAAGCATGCCCTTGAAGGAGATATTGAGATCTCAGTTCTCTCTTCTCTCATTGCTTCTCTTCTGTCATGAGGTGAGCAGCTTTCTTCTGCCACATGCATGTGTTGCCACAATAATGTATTGTGTCTCTATGGACCCAAAGCAACAGGCCAATGAAGTGTGGACTGAAACCTGAACCAACATAAAGCTTGCCTCCTTTAAAGTTGTTTCTCTCAGGTATTTGTTAAGCAATAGAAAGCTGACTAACATGTTGCCACCCATTAATCTGGCTTCAATCCCCATCTTTGAGCTAATGACTGTTCAATTCTCAATCACAAACTCTATCTTCTCTCCAAAAGTCCAGACCCAGCCAGCTAGCTAGCTGCCCCCTGGACTTTCCCACTTGGATGTTCCATAAGTAGTTCACAATCAGTATGTCCCCGGTTGAACTCACCGTCTGCTCTTCCCACGTCTGCTCTGTCTCCCACAAGCCCAAGCTTCATTAATGCTGACACCATTCGACTAGGTACCTGAGAGACAGAGACACTAATTGAATTTTACTCCCATTTATTTACTTATGAAACTGCAGAGTTTAGCTCAAAAATGTCCTAGATTTATCATCTCTATTCCCATAGCTTCTGCTAGTTCAGATCCTTATCCTATTTTTACCTGGAATATTACATGGAGTTCCTAACTCGTCTTTCTTCAGTCTTCTTGTTTCAAAATGTCTGATAAACAAAGGTATTTATCTAAACTATAATTAAATTGCTTTTTGCCCTTAAAAACATCGAAAGTCTCCCTATTGTCTAGACAGCTATAAGAGCCTTTCACAATCTGACTCCAACTTCCCCTTATGGTCTTATCTCTTACAAAAATCATCACTTAACCCCAAGTTCATACTTCAGCTATTCAAAATTTCCTGCTCTTTTCAAACAGATCATACCTTTCCTCCTTGCAGAGATAGTCCAGAATCTTCTCTCCCATCTTCTTATTGGCAGTGTTCCTTCACCTAAGAGCTCTTACTCTATTCAAAGACAAGTTCATATGTCATCTCTGAGTGCCCTTACTGGGGCACCTTGTTCTCATAAGACTTGATCCTATATCTCTTGTAGCCCTCATCTCTATTGAGTCTTTTTATTTCCTCCCTCTCTCCCTTCCTCCTTTCCCCTTTTCTTCCCTCCCTCCCTCCATCCCTCCTTTCCTTCCTTCTCTGCAGTACTGGGGATTGAACCCAGAGCCTCTCACATGCTAGACAAGTGCTCTACCACTTGAGCTATGCCCCCAGCCTTTTTGTTTGTATTTTGTTTTTGAGATAGGGTCGTGATAACTTTTCCCAAGCAGGCTTCAATCATGTAACCCTCCTCCTCCTGGCCTGCCGAGTAGCTGGGATGACAGGCATGCACCACCACACCTGGTTATTTATTTCTTATTATTCTTAGTTTTATGTTTGTTGCCTCAGAACTGAAGATGGTACCTGGTGCACAACAGTGACTGTATTTGGAGTGTCAATGAACTCCCACCTAGGGCATGAGATCTGACTCTTGCATTACATCGCTGTCCTGTGAAACAGCCTTGACTAAAGCCTCGCATCCTGCGAACAGTCTCAGCCCACCCCAGACCCATCCTCTGTGCTGTGATCCTCACTCTTCACTTTGCGAAGCAATCTCTTGGGCGCTCACTTCACAGGCATATTCTCCTTTCTTCTCTTCCAAAGATTCACTTGGTACTGCTCAACACATCACACAAATAGTGACTGAATGACTGAAGGACTAGATGTGTTCAGAGACGGGAAATGATCCTGGGTAAAGGAATTGTGTCTGTGTTTTTTTAGAAGAGGGGGAGGGAATAGAGCTTATTTATATTCTTGCATTTAAATGAAATATGGTAGAAAGACTTTCATTCAATTTGATTAAATTTGGGTGTCCACTGTGGAGAAGGAAGCCTCAGTACTGCGGGAAACCTCAGAACTGGGCTAAAGTCCCCTCCCCTCCCATCCAGATTTCTCCCAAGCACAGATTTTCATTTAGTGCAACAGAATTGTTGGAACGCTTGCTTGCCCCTGTTAGACTGAAAGTAAGGCAGTGGAGGGATTGTGTTTATTCATTCTAGTCTTCTCAGAATTTAGCTTAGTCTACCTCCTATTAGATGGCCTGGAAATCATCGTTTAATTAAATTGAATGAGAAAAATCCTCCTTTCATCCCTCAGGAGAGCAATGAGCACCTGGCTTAGAACACACAAATATTTATAGACTGACTGAACAAATGAACATATTCGAGCTCACAGCTCACCAGGAAGGCAGGAGAGCACGGAGGACAGCTAGTTGCTTCCCCCAAACCACCCAGCACACACAGCGGCCTTGCGTCCATAGGACAGGTAGAAGCAAGGAATACAGTTCACAAGGACTTGTGACGGCTTTGTGATCAGTGGAATTCCTAGGTGGGAGGGAATCCAGAAGGGGCAGGAACAAGCACAGGAAAGGCTGAGACCAAGGAAATGCAGGGTATGATCTCAGGGTCTAAGGGGAGGGAGGCGGGGCAGCAGAAGACTGAGCAGCTAGGATGTGATACCTATGGAATAAGGATGGAGTCCAGCAGTACCCTCCCCCACATGGAGAGAGTGGGTCGGGGGACACAAAAGCGTGGCTTGTAGGCCATGAGTGGGTGCTGGGCGCGCTGCCCCCCACGGCGGATCAGGCCTGGGTGTCTGGGGAAGGGCGCTCCCCACCCCCACGGAGCAGTGTCCTCCAGGCGGGCGGGGCCCAGTGCTAGGGCTGAGTAGCTGACCCCAGAGGGATGACTAAACCTTGGCTGCCAGCAGCCGCTGCCAAAGCAGGAGCACGCCAAGTTATGAGACGGTGATAACTCGGCCCTGCGCGTTTGGGGTCGCGCCTGTGGGCTGGGAGCGCGGATAAAAGGGGCCGCGCAGCGCGGGGGCTGCTTTCTCTGCGCCCAGCTTGCTGCGCTCCTCGAGGGCGGGCAGCAGTTCGGGAGAGGCCAGCCGTCGGGGCAGACGGACAAACCGATCCCCGCGCCCAGCGGACGCAGGGAGGGCGCCCGGCCCCTCTCGAGTCGGACTGTCAGGTGGCAGCTGGATCTGGTGGGACCCGGACGCCAGCGGACTGGGAAGGTCCCAGCATGGCGACAGCGGCGTGCGAGCCGGTGGCCAGGACGAGCCTGTCCTCCATCTCGTCTGGGGAGCTGCGCAGCCTGTGGACGTGCGACTGCGAGCTGGCCCTGCTGCCGCTGGCACAGCTGCTGCGCCTCCAGCCCGGCGTCTTCCAGCTGCGCGGCGAGCAGCTCGCGGTGCCCGGGCCCGGGGAGCCCCAGGCCGCGCGCGGGGGCTTCAACGTCTTTGGCGACGGCCTAGTGCGCCTCGACGGGCAACTTTACCGCCTCAGCGGCTACATCAAGAGGTGGGTGGCCTCGTTGCGCCCCCGCCTGCCGCCGGGTCCCCGCAGATCCTCCACTCTAAAATCGCTCTGTCTGCAACCCCTCTGAAGGATGCTCCCTTTCCGTGCTCTTCCCACTGCTCACATCACCTGGGTCTGCAAGCTGTCCCTGCCTGGGCTTTGGCTGCCCTCTGCCCTGACATTTTGCAACTGCAGCTTGAAGCTGCCCGAAGGGGCACCTTTCTGGGCGCGTGTGGGAGGGCAGGATGGGGGCTTCGGACCTGCTCCGCTCACATCTATCGCGCGTAACTCTCAGCTGCTCTTTTGCGTCCTGCTCATTAACTGGGTCGGATGAGCTCAGATTGGGGACACACAATTTAGGGGATATTTGCAGCGCAGACATTTACACCCTGGCTTTAAATCTGGGTGGAGAGAAAGGATGCGCAATCCAGTGGAGAAGGAAGCAAGTTCACTTTCTCGCTTCTTTGACCTCTCTCTTTCATAAACCATGATGGAGGAGAGAACAAGGCCTGGGGGATGCGCAGCTCAGGGCCCTGTGGGCCGATGACTTCTGCGGAAAGTGCAGTAGTGTAGCTTCCTAGAGCCTTGGGCGGAGTGTACGGAAAACCTGCACCTGAAGGCGCACAGGATGCCTAACTGTTGTGGCCAAAGCGACTGAAGCACTTCTTGGCACACCTGAAGTAGCATGGATGTGGTCCATCCGCAGAGCAATCCGTACCCGATTTTGCATAGCATCTGGTCTCCAATGGCCACTATGAGGGGAAGGGGGTGCAAAGCCCTCTTATATTTAGGTTGTGGGGTTGAGTGCCAAGAAGAGGCCACTGGAGCCTGGAGTCACAGAGATGAGTGACTTCACCAACTACTAAGACACAATGCTTCTGGCACTGGGTAAGTCAGCACTGGGCACTGTGGACAGGGTGGAGGCTGGACAAAATGAGCTATTCACAGTGCTTTCCTCCCTCCCTCCCTTCCTCCCTTCATTACTTCCTTTTTTTTCTTTTGATGGTGCTGAGGTTTGAACTCAGGGTCAAACTTCATCCTGTTAGGCGGGTGCTCTACCACCTGAGCCATGCACCCAGTCCTTTTTTGCTTTAGTTATTTTTCAGATAGGGTCTTGCTTTTTGCCCAAGTCTAGCCTTGGACTGAGATTCTCCTACCTATACCTGCACCAAGTTATTTGTTGAGGTGGAGTCTTGCTAACCTTCTGTCCCAGCTGTCCTCAAACTTCAATCTTCTGATCTTTGCCTCCTGAGTAGCTGGGATTACAGCATAGCCACTGAGCCCGGCCTTCCTCCTCCTTCTTTACCACCTCTGGCCAGTTCTATTAAATATTTTCATGATTTCACCACTCTGTACTAGCATGCTTCTCAGGATCTCAGAATCACCAGGATGGATAGCCCCCACCCCCACCCGGGTGCATACTCTATAGTTTCCTTCACATGCTGTGGCCAACTTGATATTATTGGAGGGGGGGCACCAGTTTTGAGCATCCCTCACAGCTCAAGGTAGGGCAGTTGGTGAAGATGACCGTTTGGCCTTCCCTTGTCTGGCATCTTCATAGTCTTCCTGTCCCTGGTGCATACTTTCCACTTGTCATGCAAACTGGAGCCAAGAGTCAATGGACTCCAGCAAGTTTTCATCTTTGTGGCCACCACTTTCCTGCCTTACGTGTAGGATGAACTCTACCCAGAAGCAGCTGCCGAGATGGCCAGGGATTGAGAAAAAGCAGCAGGCTGATTCTTAAACATTTGGGGCCACAGAGCTTTTGAGAATTGTGTGTAGACCTTCTCCCCAGAAATGAGGATGTATTCCCAGTGTCACTGACAATTCGGGGGTTCCTGAGACCCTTGGATGCAGGTTAAGAATCCTGGCTGTATAAATTAATTAGCATTTTTCCCCCATTCAGCATGTATTTGTGGTGGGGTATAAACCTTCAGGATGATTCAGATTTCTTTTCAAGGCCTCAAAAGTGTGTGCAGCACTTTTCATGAGGTCCTTTCCCAAGCAACCCCCCAAAACGAAGAGTCGCTGCCCTTGACAACCACATGCCAGCTCAGTGAGCTGGGGTAGTATCTGTTTTACTTACTAAGGTCTGTTTCCTGCTATTTAAACACCTACTAAGTAAGCTACAGAAAGCCTGGATGGTGGGATGCCTTAGTGACGGATACCAAAAGTTTTGAAGCTCCTTTAAGAACCTGCTTTAAAAATATTTGTCCTTCTTTGTGGAGTTGATGGCAAGATTTTCATTGGTATTTTTTCCTTTTAAGTTCAGGATTTTTAACCATGTCACAACTGAAACCTGCTCAGAAAACTAGATGTATGATGGTTGTCCAAAGAGCTATTCATTCAACACTTAAAAGTCCAGATAACACACACACATGCACACGCACATGCACACACACACACACACACACACTCACACGCACACACATACGCAACACCTCCCCCACATCTTTTCCCTGTAATGCATCCTTTTAGTGTTGTGTAATGGTATAATGTCAGGCAAAGAGGTTCTCTAATTCTTTCTTTTTGGTGATCTCTGGGCATGACAAAGGCAGCAGCATGTGTGACCAAAATAAGTACAATTATAATAACTGCTATTAATATTTACATGGTACCAGAAAGGGTGCAAAATGTGTCACAAGGATTTACAAAGTCAGCACTATTTTCTTGCCCTTTTTTACAGAAAAGAAAATTAGGATTCAGTGCAATATCATGATTAACCTCAGGAAGATTCTAGGAGCAATGGAAACTGGGCTTCTATGCAGCATTGTATAACCTATGCTTTCAGCAAACAGCTTTGACTCTCAACTGATTTTGCCTTTCTCTGGCCACCAGCAGTGTTTTATACACTTCCAGAGCCCACAAATAAATAGCTGGGATCCCTAACCTGTGTGCATCTTGTAAAATCAGCCTAAAGAGGAAGTAAGTGAGGATGTTTTATGAAGCCTCTAACAGCAGAGGTGGAACCTGCTGACCACCTCTATTGCTCTATTAACCATTGCAGGGTCAATACTGCCTGGGGCAGGGTACACAGGAGAAGAGTGGGATTCCCAGGGGACAGTGGGACAGAGTCAAGGCTAGGACACACACTTGTGCTGTATGGAACCCACCTCCACCCTGCAGCAGGAAGTGCAGGGCCTGCACGTGTGTCTTCACAGGCTTGTGTTTGGTCCTGTGACTCGTCCTCTACCCTGAGTGTCACACATGGAAACCTGCCCAGGGTAGCAACCCCATGTACAGAACACATCACAGCATTGATGAAGTGAAACCCATCCCCAAACTGAGCTGTGATTTTGGTGAGACTCAGTCTAGAGGAAGTATGGGTGAATGTGAGTGCCAGGGGCTGTGTCTCAGACAGGTGCTCTTCAGAGCACCAGGTCTCCTGGGGATCTTGATCAAGCACAGATTCTGATTCAATAAGACTGGGAGGGGCCTGGAGTCTGCATTTTAGTAAACTCTTGGTGATACCAGTGCTGTTAGTCTAAGGATCACACTTTGAGCAAGAAGGTCTTCTACATTATCATTTCATTTTGAAATGCTGTATTTTTATCTGTCTCTTAAATAGATCATAGGACTCTGGGAAGCAAGACTGTTTCTTTTCTCCCATCTTTGTGTTCTCCAAACTCAGCACACAGTAGGTGCTTATTGCATGCCTACATGAGTGGATCCTTTTCTGCCCCACCACACTAATCATCTGTAACCACTTAAGTGAATGACAGAACACGTGGATCCTTGATTCAAGTCACAGATGATGGTAGAATCGCAAGTTTGAACATTTGGCTTAGTTTCCTATAGTTGGGGCAGAAGGTGGAGTGAAGGAAGTGGTGGGTGAAGCTCTGCAGACGGCGATCAAACAAATCCTGGAAACATAAAGCAGGTGCACCCATCTTCCTCCCAAGAGTAGCCTGTACTCCTGTCCATGAGGGCTTCTTTTCTTTGTGTCACAGCAAAGGACTATGACAGTCATAAGCAATTTCTGTGCCTCCTACACAGAGACTTTTATCTCTTCCCCGCACTCTGTAGTTTTTTTTTTCTTTCTTTGTGTTTATGGTGGTACTGGTGTTTGAACTCAGGGCTTTGCACTTGCTAGGCAGGCACTCTACCCTCCATGTACTTTTTCTTCTTGTTTTATTTTAATTGTGGTAAAATATCTACCACTCAACGTTTGCTATTTTTAACCATTTTAAGTGCACATGCAATGCTGTGCCACCATTACCACCCTCCATCTTCAAGAACATTTCATCATCCCAAATTGAAACTCTGGACCCATTAAACAACTCCCAGTTCTACTCCCCCAAGCCCCTGGTGAGCACCATTCTACTTTCTGCCTCTAGGAATTCAATTCTTCCAATTAACTAACATAAGTAGAATTTACCACATTTGCGTTTTCATGACTGATTTATGTCACTTAGCATGTCTTCAAGGTTCATCCATGTTGCAGCATGTGTCATTATTCCCTTTTTAAAGCTGAATAATATTCCATTGTGTGTGTCTACCACATTTTATTTATCCATTCATGTGTTGGTGGACACTTGGCTTGTTTCCACCTTTTGGCTACTGTGAATAATGGTGCTCTGAATGTAGGTTTGCAAATATCTGAGCCCCTGCTTTTACGTCTTTTGTTTCTTTAGAATTGTTTAATTTTTATTTTAAATGAGAAATAATTATCTTTATGGGGTACAATGTGATATTTTCATTCGTGTGTATACAGATTTTTTTTTTAAAGTAGACACACATGCACACACACCTACTTCCTGGAGTGGAGGTATGGCTTTAATTTCTGTTTGCCTTGGGGCAGTAAGTGGTGAGAGCCAGGGGAAAATTTGGGGCTGCTTTCCAGATCTTGGTAGTGAGGACATAAAACCTGAGGGACCTGTGAGGTAGGGCATTTTAGAAGGTAGTGGATCTTTCAGCCATTCCTGATTTGCTACAAGCAAAACACAGTGCTCTTTCTGGAACCCATCTTTCAGACACTGGCTCTTTAGAAGATGGAGCAAGAAAGGAGAAACTGATGCTCATTTATTTTTTGGGTATTCCTAATGTTCTCTTTTTTCTGGTAACTCAAATGAACACAGTCCTGGTTGGGTGTCAGAAGCTTACAGTTTCCCTCCATGGGCCTGCTGAGTTGCCAGGATTACAGCTCCTTTTTATATTTATCCAACATCTACTATGGGCCCAAGTTCATATTTAAACATATGCATGTATGCTGTTGTGCTCCTTGACAGATGAGGGAGGGAGCAGGTTTAGGCAGGCTGAGTGACCTGTGGCTCCGGACATGAATTAGATTTTCTTTTGAGACCCTGTGCTTTCTCTGACACTGTCCTGCCTTCCAATCTTTGCACTGAAGCCAGGCTTCAGAAGTTTCAACCCAGAGGTATTTGGAGGCCAGGTTAAAAGCAATGAAGAAATGAGAGTTTAAAGGAACTGTCCTTCTTCAACTGTTTTTCATTTCTAATGATAACATCAGCAAATATAATAAATATTCAACACACAGAGGCCCTATTTGCCTTACTAATTCAGAAATAGTCACAATTGAACATCAAATAACTCATCCCTAATGTAGTCTAGTAAGGCTTGGATACTTAAACACCTGTGGGAGTTAACAACTAGATCTTTTGATCTTTTTTGTATTTTAGCTACTTTCATATTCAAATTTTATGACAGTGAGTTTCAAGGAAATGCTCACATTTACTTATTTCACTGGAATTTTGAGGTGTTTAACAATTGGACCATAACTGGGAGATTAGGAATGCAGGAAATAAAGAGGTACAGTAGGCTCCCCACTTACTCACAATTTAGCTTTCCTTGATTTCAATACCTGTGGTCAGCTATGGTCAGAGAATATTAAATGAAAATTTCTAGAAATGAATAATTCATAAGAAGTAAATACTTCATGATGAGATCTCTTGCTGTGTGCTCCTTTGTAAGCCCAACTTGTGAATCATCCCCTTGTCCATGTTTCCACGCTGTATATGCTACCCTCTTGTTAGTCACTTAATAGTCCTTTAAGTTATTAGGTTGACTGTTGAGGATCACAGTGCTTGTGTATAGGGTCTGAGGCTACCCAAGGTGTTAGGTATCCTTTGGGGGTCCTAGAATATATCCCCAGAGGGTAAGAAGGGACTATTGTATTTCTTATTTGTAGCCTTCTTAGAGATAAGGAGTTTATTAAGTAAAAATCTTGCCACAATCTCTCATCTATATATTTTGGGATCAGAGCTCTCAGCTAAGCAGTGTGTTCACACATCTAGGTACAGATGCTCTGTGATGAGGCTTACAGCCTGTTATGGTCCTTCAAAGGCTTCCAAATTATCCAAGACAGATTAAGTTATGTTGTACATGTTTTTATTGTTCAAGCATTTTATTAAATTTAGACTTCAAAAGAAATACTTCATGCATAGGGTATATATTTTACTCAATACATAACTATCTAGAGGGACCCTTTTCCAATCATATAAAAACCTCAACTTTTTGTGCCCCAAAGCATTCAAAAAGCCTCCCACAGAATTCTGGTAAAAACTGATTATTTTTAATTTTCCAACTAGTGATTTTTTTTTTTTGGTGGTGGTACTGGGGTTTGAACTCAGGACCTTGTGTTTGTTAGTCAAGCACTCTACCACTTGAGCCATGCCCCCAGTCCTTTTGCTTTAGTGATTTTTTTAGATAGTGTCTGGTTCTTCGCTTCCCTCATCTTCTGCTTCCCTGTCCCTCTTAGTAGTCACAGACCTCAGTTACCCCTCCTCACTCTCTTCCCAGGCCAGTTTTGCCCGCCACATGCCAGGTAACTGACAGCCGAGAGGATGATCCATCCTAATCGTGGATATGGAAGAGCATGGAGGCTCCCTGTCCTGTCCCCTGCCCTTCCCCTTCCCAGGCTCTGTGCCACTCAGATGTAATAAGGCACCTGTGAGTGCCTACCTGGTCCTCAACACATCACTGGGGCTTAATGAATGTTGTGGAGTGAATGAATAAACCCAGCAAATGATGGTTCCTTTCCTTGTTTTTTCTAGTAGCTTCTGACAATTGACTAATTGGGACAAAAAAGGGCAGGAAGACTCTCCCAACAGACAGGGAACATAGGTACTGACCCCTCTGTCTTTTCACGATGCTGGGAATACAACCCAGTGCCTCACATATGGTAGGTAAGCACTTTACTGTTGAGCTGCATCTCTAGCCCTCTCTGAATCTTTTGTTCTTATGTTCTGCTCAGGTGAGTGTGAGAGTGAGGAAAGGACGAGGGAAGAACCAAACAAAATCCCAGTTGCATTCTTTTACCTTGTCCATCCCCAGGTTATGCCCCTAGGCCCTGTCCCTTGCTCCTTCTTCATTTCTACCCTCCTCCCCTCCACTCCTGACTCCTCTCCTTCTTCCCCACATCTCTGAGCATGAAACACCTGCTCCCCTTTCCTCGTTCTGGAACACTCAAGATCTTTGTTCCCCTCTGCACCCCAGGACCAGCCCCCAAACTACCATGAGTGTAGGTAGGTTGGGAGGTGGAGACTACTTTCAAAGCCAGGTGAAATAAAAGGCATGGGGGACAGGGGACATGATTAAAAGCTCTCAAAATCATGCCTGGCAATCCTGCAAAAAGGTAATTTTCTAAGATGACAAGCTGGGAGATAGCCAAGCAGAAGCTGTGTTTTCCTGCCTTGGGGTAGTATTTCCTGGCATTCTCTTGACCCATGCCTGGGTCAATGTCTTGTACACGGCCCCTCAGAGAGAGTTGTGGGAATTGGCTGGGGCAAGGATGTCAAGATGACCCTGTAGCCACAGCCCCCTGCGGCAGCCCCTTGCTTTCCAAGGCTGTGATTTTCATGTCAGGCACTGAAAAAAGGACAGTGAATCCTACAGCAATGCCTGGAGCTGTCTCTGCTCACGATTAGGTAGAAGAAACAGTCACTCTGCAGTATAGCAAAAGGTGGCCCATGCTGTCAGCTCAGCAAGTACACTCACTCCTGGCAGATGCTCCCAGCTGTCTCAACAGGGAACCAGCTCAGTGTTTTAAGAGGGACTGTGGCAGAGGCATCCTTCAGCTGTCTAGACACCGTTCAGCTGTCTACATCCACACAGCCTCTGAGCTTGGTGTAGTCACAAAATTAGTCATCCTTTTGAAGGAAGCTAATTTGCCCTTGGATCTTTTTATTAGCAATGTCGGTAGAGACTTAGAAAGGCTGCTTGGAAAATTTTTGTAGGGCAGTGAGAGAAAGCTAAAATCCTAAATAACAGAGTCAAGATGCAGAAAAATCTTTTTAAACTAGAATGGGAAGCAAATTTAATGAGGATATGGGCAAGATTCCAATAATAGATTTTTTTGTTTTAATTGCACAAGTTTGGGATTGAGGAAATGTGAATTAGTAATAGTCCATATGGGTATTGGTTGATTGCATAATCTATTGCAGGGGGGCTGTGGTTATTTTGGGATGAGAGAGGGCAAGTGGGGAAGAGAAGGACAAGAACATTCCAGACCTACCAGTTAGGCATGATGATACCATTGGAAAAGACCCAACTAATTCCACTTGCTGAGTGTAATTCATTTCTGATCTGGAGGGAGTTAAGAGTTCATCACTGAACTCCTCTACCCCAAATGAGAGATGATAGTGGTAATTATCTGGTAAAGGCTGCCTTGAGAACCAAGCATTGACACCAAGTTACCTGAAAGATGATGGCCACTTTGGGGTTGCACACTGAGCCCTTAGCCAACCAGCTACGACCAGGAGAAGGAGGTGTACTTATATGGTACAACATATTGTGATCTCTACATGAATACATTTTAGGGGTCTGCCCCCAAAGTCTGTTGCTGTGGTAGCTACATATCCAGTAAGTACATCCTCTTCCCAACTGAGAGGGGAGACTGCATGGCATTCATAATTATCTCTCCTTTTTCATAGGTATGTGGAATTGACCAACTACTGTGACTATAAAGACTATAGGGAAACCATATTGAGCAAACCAATGCTATTCTTCATTAATGTACAGACCCAAAAAGACACCTCAAAAGGTAGGTATTTGTTAGAAATAGCTTTAAGATATTGGGGTGTCATGAGAGAGACCACATTACTCAGAAATCAATAGGCAAGGCAAAATTCACTTCCGCAGAAGGGTGCACACCAGGAAGTCTGGGCAGTATGCACACTGTGTGGGAAGTCCACAGGGGTTTTATCTGACACCATGCTGTCCTTCTCCTGCCCCTGGATTGGGCAGGTTTTGGACTCACAGTCTACTCGGTTGGCTAATTAGAAAGGGGCCAGGTTAGGAGGGGGCTTTAGGAACAAAGAAGTTTAAAAGTTCGGAGAAGCAATAGCTGTTTTTGGTTATCAGCTCCAGAACCAGGGCATCTAGAAGAATTCTTGTCCCGCTGAGGATAACAACCCTTTGTTCTTAATAGAAACTTTTCTTGTATTAAGCAGAGTCCATGAAGCATGTGTATGGGAAGCAAGTTAGTGAGACTAGCATTTGCAGTGGTTACTGATTAAATCGTTTAACAGAAAAGACCCAACCTAAATTGATTCTCACAGCCCCCCACTTTATGTACAGTTCTTTTCTTTAAACTTAGCTAGTACAAACTATCTTTTCATCAAGCCCAGCCTGCTGGTTGTCCCCATTCTTATCACACTGGACGTTTTAAGAGGACCTCATTAGTTTATTTTATTTTTGAGTCTTGTCACCTGTATTTTATGACAATTGTTTATTATTTTGGTGAGACCCCTTTTTGTTTATTTTGGGAAAGTCTATTGTGCCTCAGCACCTCTGTGTGAAGCTGGTTTTTTTTTTTAAATGTCTTTTGTCTCCTTTATTGGAAACAAAGTTACTTTTGTTATTTGTCCCTTTACCTTTACATCTCTAGGGACATTTTGTTATTATTATTATTTTTTTACATTTGTCCTTTATGTTCCCTCCTCCTTCAGAGGTAACCCTGACTTCTGTCAGGAAAAGGGGCGTTGTGTCAAGGGATCCCCAAACAGTCAGTCAGGGTCTCTTTGAAGATAGTGAAGGGAGTCTGTCAGGGGGGTCCATAGTACTAGGCGGCAGTCCCTGGCATGTGTGGTTTTTGTCTCCATCACCATTTGGAGCTTGACTGTCTCTAACCTTGAAGAAACAAACTTGACAAACAGGTTAAGAGACCAGGGGCAAAGTAGAAGGAGGAACAAGGTTAGTGACAGTAGTTAAGAGTAATTTTTTTTATACTTGTAGCAGGAGGTATTGGCTATTGCACATTTTTTTAAATGTCTGAACCTGTGGGTTTTTTTTTTTTTGCATGAAATTACCATGGCAACAATACATTATCAGTATATATATCCAAGAAAAACCCATTGTTTAAAAAAAAAGTTTAAAATGTCATCTTTAATTATCAAAGGACATGCCTACAGCCAGCAAAATAGTCAGTTTGTCTCTATTAAAGTAGACCCTGTCTAAAAATGTGAGTTTGTGCCTAGAAGCGCTTTAATGCTGATAGCCACACACGCATAAGAAGCATTTCTTCAATCCTCTTGGCTTTGATTATTTTTGAGAGGTCTGGCATAAGTGATTCCATTTGAACTTTGACACATTCCCCCTTGTCTCTGGGCAGTCTCCTCTGAAGATCTGTCTGCCATCCAAATACTAACCAGGCCTGACCCTGCTTAGCCTCTGAGACCACACGAGATTGGGCCCGTTCAGGGTGGTAATGGTCGTAGACTGAAGACCTTTCTTGATTGGTCATTTTTGTTTTTTGTTGTGAAGATTTGCTTTTTCCTGGATTTTTTTATTTTTGGTCCCATGTTAGGGGGTGGGGTAAGTAACAAGCAGATCAGGTGGGAGTCAGTGCCAACTAGACCTTTTTGGCCAAATTTAAGCAACAAAGAGGCTTAGAAGGAGTGGCTCCTAGGCAGTGGACTTCTAGACAAGGACAATGCAAAACAAAATTCAACAAAAGCAGACATTCAAAAACTAACCTAGTAGATACATAAGTACTTGTTAGAGTCATTTTTTTATGGACTTGATTGTAAATGCCCCAGAAAGATCAACTGTAATGACAAAAACTTGAGAGAGCCATGCATGGTTAAAATTCTGATGGACAATTTAACAACTAACAGAACAGTATATTAGTACCATTAACTTTTAGTTACTGTGTTTATTTAAATTTTGTATTTTAGAAGGCTTGATATACTTGAACAACACAAATGTATTTAACATACAAGAGTCAGAAACAGCGTCACATCTCTATAGAGGATGTGATATACATATATATATATATATATATATATATATATATATATATTTTTTTTTTTTTTTTTTTTGGTAGTTGTTACTCTTGGGGTAAAACCTTAGATTTCTTATGAGTTGGAGGGGCAGTATCAGTGACCCCAAATAGTCTAGTCACAAAAACATATGGGGTACTGACTGCATTAGAATAACCCAAGACAATAGTTGTTTAACTATAATTATAAGGTCATCTAGAAGACTTTACATAAATCAACTCATAAATCAACTTTTATTTAGTTATGACTCAGTTACCTCAGTAGTCAAAACCCTGACAGAAATCAACAGAGAACAAGTAAATATTTATGGGGACTAAGTGTGGAAATAGGAAAACTAATGGCCAGGAATCATAGCTCAGATGTTGATAAGGGATCACATCCCAGATTGTTGACATTAACAGATGGCTCATGACATACTACAGGATCCCACCAACCTGTAGTCAATGGAGCCCCCCTAAAATAACAAGCCCAATCTGGCCATCCCAGGCCAAAAATTCCCTCTGCCTGCCATGTGGAAGGAGTAGGACTAACACCTCCACTCTTTGACTTTAATAATAATAAAATTGAAGTCTTAAGATCTTCAGTGTTGTGCTTCTTTTTATGTTTTTTCTTTATCCTATCTGCACGTTGACTTTGTTTTTATTTTGTTTTACATAAGTAAATGTGTTTTAGCCCTCACATCAGTGCAGCAGCACTCCCTGAGCTCAACTGCCTACTGCTCTCTGTGTTTTAATAAACTCTTGCTGTCTTGATAAATTTTTGGACCAACCTGTATCACCAAAAATCTCTAATAATTATCTTGACAAAACAAAACCCTTCCTTTAAGACAGTTTTTTTTGTAGATGTTATCAAGAACAGAACAGTATTTTTAAGACAGCCTTGTTATGAGCTCAGAGAGTTAAATTTTAGTTACCTTACAAAACCTTTAATGTAACTTTTAGATTTTAGTCCACTTAATTATTTACGTAAGCATTTATAAACTCCATCTTTTTGTGACAATCTATTTTGTATTTTTATGATAACTTACTTTGTAATCCCTGGGGGAGCTTATCTTTATTCTTTCTTTTTTTTTCTTTTTTCTTTTGGGACAATTTTGAAGAAAAGCCTTTTTTGTATAATCCTGTTATTCTCTAAAAGTATTTTTTAAACTTTTATTTTTAAAACCATATTTTTAACACCTTTTATATTTTTTGTTACTTGTTGGAAATAACTCATAAAACCTTTTAACTTAGAGCTTTACATTTGTATGAAAAAAAAAAAAAACCCAGAAAGAAAGCAACCTCAAAATTATTATTTTTTTTTTTCATTTTTCTTTTATTATTCATATGTGCATACAAGGCTTGGTTCATTTCTCCCCCCTGCCCCCACCCCTCCCTTACCACCCACTCCACCCCTCCCGCTCCCCCCTCAATACCCAGCAGAAACTATTTTGCCCTTATCTCTAATTTTGTTGTAGAGAGAGTATAAGCAATAATAGGAAGGAACAAGGGGTTTTGCTGGTTGAGATAAGGATAGCTATACAGGGCATTGACTCACATTGATTTCCTGTGTGTGGGTGTTACCTTCTAGGTTAATTCTTTTTGATCTAACCTTTTCTCTAGTTCCTGGTCCCCTTTTCCTATTGGCCTCAGTTGCTTTAAGGTATCTGCTTTAGTTTCTCTGCGTTAAGGGCAACAAATGCTAGCTAGTTTTTTAGGTGTCTTACCTATCCTCACCCCTCCCTTGTGTGCTCTCGCTTTTATCATGTGCTCATAGTCCAATCCCCTTGTTGTGCTTATCTTTATTCTTTCTTTTTTTTTCTTTTTTCTTTTGGGACAATTTTGAAGAAAAGCCTTTTTTGTATAATCCTGTTATTCTCTAAAAGTATTTTTTAAACTTTTATTTTTAAAACCATATTTTTAACACCTTTTATATTTTTTGTTACTTGTTGGAAATAACTCATAAAACCTTTTAACTTAGAGCTTTACATTTGTATGAAAAAAAAAAAAACCCAGAAAGAAAGCAACCTCAAAATTATTTTTTGTATAAAAACAATTTCCACAAAGAGTATTTGTTAATAGACCCATGTATTATAAGACAGAATTAAGTCCCAGATTTTATTTACCACAGAATGAAAGAGGCCAAAGTCATTTTTTAACTATGTAAATTTTAAGATTTTTGTTGCAGTCTGCTGCCTGGCCCTTTCCTATTTTTCTGATCTGAGCTGGAGTGTTAACCTCTGAATGCCTGCATCTTAGTGAGACCTGATTGAACCAAGTTTGAAAATGGCTTCAATTTTTTTTAAAGTAGCAGTAGAATAGAGCAGAAGTAACAATTAAAAAAAAAACCTCTATAATAAGGACCATCCTGAAGAGGTATACATATTTATATGCAAAAAAAGGGATTAAGCAGTCTACACAGAGACATCCAACATAAACAATGCTTTTTTTGTTGTTGCCTTGAACATCACATTAACCTTATAACAGCAGGCTAAGAACCATTTTGAAGATGTTTATATACACATATGCCCATAAAAGTTTTATAAATTAAGCATGCCCCCCAAAATGTCAATTTAAGCACATATAAGATGAGCTGTAATTCCAGGAGCAAATTACATTTTGCCCAATGCTCTTTTAGAGATATAAACAAAATGACATAAAAAAAATTGAGTGTACTTCCAAAAAAACTTTTAAAATCATACTCAAAGGGCTATTCAGTGGAATGGTGGATGATGAGTCTATTCTTTTGTGAGTCTCCCTCTTTGGACCTGAATTTTTGTTACCCATCCCTTAATTTTGGCTGTGTGTTTCCCTGGGAAAGGTTCAACCCCCTCATACTGGGTGTTTCTTGCATTTTACCCATATCCCCAGGAAAATATTCAACCCCCTGTATTTGGAATTTCTTATATTCTACCCTTATCCCAGGGGAGACTATTCAACACTACCCTCCCCCCACCCCCCGAAGCCCCCCATATTGGAGGTTTCTTAAATTCTACCCAAAGTGCTTCCTCTGCCTCAGGAGTCAGCACTTGCTTTGTGTCCAAGACAAGTCCCAGTCACACCCACACAACCTTTGGAATGTCTAGATCATCAAAGTAGTACTTGACTTTCCTATCTTGCTCCATGCCCAGTGTTAACCTGGTCCTCTGTGGTGCTTGCATGGACTGGCCCCTTTTCCTTCATTACCAATTAACTTTTGATTTGGAGTTCATTGTTGGCCACGGAGATAGTGGATCCCCCCCAGCCCTGAGGCCACTGAAACAAGGCAGTGGGACATGTCTCCCCTGAGGAGGAGGTCTCCATGGCTCCCTGGGTGATGTGATGGGTCCCCATGTTGTTAGAAATATCTTTAAGAAATGACCCAAACAATGTATGCACATGTGAATAAATGAATAATTAAAGTAATAATAATAAAATAACCCTACCCTCCCCCCCAAAAAAATCTTTAAGATATTGGGTGTCATGAGAGAGATGACACTACTCAGAAGTCCACAGGCAAGGCAAATTTTACTTCTGCAGAAGGGTGCACACCAGGAAGTCAGGGAGGTAAGCGCACTGGGCCAGAAGCCCACTGGGGTTTTATGTGACACCATGCTGTCCCTCTCCTGCCCCTGGGTTGGGCAGGTTTTGGACTCACAGTCTACTCGGTTGGCAAATTAGAAAGGGGCCAGGTTAGGAGGGGACTTTGGGAACAAAGAAGTTTGAAAGTTCAGGGAAGCAATAGCTGTTTTTGGTTGTCAGTTCTGGAACCAGGGCATCTAGCGGAATTCTTGACCTGCTGAGGATTACAGCCCTTTGTTCTTAATAGAAACTTTAATCACATTAAGCAGAGTCCATGAAGCATGTGTATAGGAAGCGAGTTAGTGAGACTAGCATTTGTAACAGCCGTGGTTACTGATTAAATCCTTTGACAGAAAATACCCAACCTAAAGTGATTCTCACAGTATAGAAATAATTTTGGTTTGTTTTTGCCTTGCTGGGCTATGGGCTAAGGCATGTTGATGCAGGAGGGGTGGGGACATTCAGATGGGGCAGAAGTGGGACATGTAGAAAGCAGGATGGATGACAGCTTATGTTAAGGCCAATAGCAAGTAGCCTGACCTGTGAGGCCATCTGCTGCACAACACAAGCTTGCAAAAATACTTCTAATGTCTCTGAGCTCCTTACCTATTTCCTGTTTAGGCAGGAAGTGATCTGACATTCTGAGCCTTCAGAGGGTCTACTTCCTGTCTAGGCAGGAAGTGATCTGATATTCTGGACATTTCAGGGTTCTGAAAATGCCTGGATTAATGAGGATGATATGTAATACACTATATTATCTATCAAATACTTACTGTGTCTGAGATATGTTCTACTATACTTAATTGGCCTAACAGCCTTGTAGGGTTTATCACACAAATGGGGACATTTTTGAGTATGAAAGTCATAACAGTTAATAAATTTTCTGGGACAAAGTTGTAAACTGAGACTGACCCAGGAAACTAGGATGTAAGATTGTCCTAATTATGAAGTACATATACTATCCTCATTTTATAGATGGGGAAACTAAGAGAAAGTAAATAGCAGCTTTAGATGCTTTTTGTCTCATTTCTATGTGTTAGAATTTCACATTTAGACATATTTCTTTATAGTTTCTCCCAATAAATCATATTAACTGGTAATAGCTATCTAACACAAATTCCAATATGAAAATGTCCATTTTTCCATTCTCTTCTTGTTCAGAGTGGTAAGTGAGCAAATTCCTGGGCATAATGTTCTTTGATAAGGACAGAATTTCTTGAACTTGCTACTAAATAGCATTCTTAAAATAAGCCCAAGACAATAAAAAAATAAAGTTTCAAATAGACTTCCTCAAGCATTCACTCTCATTCACATTGGTGGAGCAGTGTGCTCTTTTCCTAGTTCAAGGTCAAGATGCTCTCTGCAGGAGAGACCAGAAGACACAGTAACCAGCAGTGCTTGTTAGAGCATCTGTGCCCTGTGTGTGTTTTGGCTTGACAATGACCAGACAATTGGATAGTTCTCTGGGTAATTCACAGCTGTACGAAGTATACCTCCTGCATCGATGTCTCAGGAGGAATCTAAAGAAAGAATATGAGACTTTTCTCTTTTAGCACTTTAATGAAAGCACAAAGGGAGGTACAAATGGTAGTTGTAGGTGGCCTACAGAAGGTACATACTTGCATGACAACTGTTATGGAAGGAGGTACAGAACCCTGATTAGTTTTTAGTAAAGCTATAAAATGAAGAGGTTCTGCAGTCTAGAAACTTAAGATAGTGACCTTTAGATTGTGAAAAGTGTGACTTAGGTAGCATATTAACCCTGCTACTGTTCTAAACTGTACTTTTATGCAAATTAGAAGCACCACAATTTCTTCACGACAATTACTAACGTTTTCCAGAAATTTGTCATAATAAATTTGCAAATAAAAAGGAAATAACTGTGCAAATAATCAAGTCTGTGTATAGATGGGGGTGGCATTGTGTCCAGTTGTACAGTGCCCAACCTACCCAACCAATGTAACCATGGAGAATGGCAGCCCTGCCTGAGTATTTAAGGAGCCTAAAGGTGCTGGTTTGGTATGTGTGAAATTCAATTCAATGTAACAAATAGCTGCTTGCTTGACTTATTTTATTTATCTCTTGTCTAAAGAAGATATGCGGTAGTTTATATCTAAAATAATTCAGAAGAAAGGAAAACATGAGTAGGAAAAATAAGATGAATACGGTTAGTTCAAGATGCATTTCTTGTTATTGGTGACCCACAGGTTTGCCTCTGAGATAGCTCAGAAACAATACAAAATGTTCCAGTCACACAATGCCTGGCTCATGTCTTTAAACAGAAGGTGACACAGGGATGTCACCTTGAGTGATTAAGCTTGCTTCTGGAGAGGCTGATTAAGTTAAGAGGTTGCTAGTTAATAATATCCCTATTTCCTAAGAAGTGAACAACCTTCTCTTTGATTAGACAGAATCAACGTTAAGGGATTAGAACACAAAATAAAACAAACTAAAGAACAATTGTCTGCCAGTTCAGAGCCCTGGTGTTATTTAAACAATGGGAGAGACATTTTCCCCACTGGAGGTTGTGTTAGAGAGGAGAATCAGCCTGGGATACCTTGTGGCAGAGAGACTGCCAGGCCCATGGAGAGGTCAGGTCAGGGTGGGAGGCCCAGGGCAGTCTTTTTCTTGAGCTATGCTGATTTTCTGCTTTGCAAATGAGGAATTGTGGTTGAGAGTCAAATTATGATTTAAATACCCAGCAGTGTAGGGACATGAAAACCAGCCATGTTGAAGTTTCATTTCTTTCCCCATGCTGGATGCATGCTCTGTGAGCCAAGTTGTCATTTAGGTAATCATAGAGAGGCACTTTGGATCTCTGTGTATTAAGTGACAAATGGCAGTGTTGAGGGGACTGCTTGCCTGACCTGCTTTTACAGTAGCACAGAGCTCCCTTGAAATCTGCAGAATTCCCAGGGATATTTCTAGAAATTTCTACTAGCACTGTGGTAAGAGTCTGAGGGAGTGGACAGGGAAGGTTATAAGTGAATAAATTCTGCACAGGAGGTGGGAACCACTGCTCTGGCAAATTCTGAGGGACACATTTATGTCACACACACACACACACATTTCTGAATTTTGCTCACTGATTTCTAGAGAGGACCTATGCGTTTCTTGTGAACACAAGGCACCCCAAGATAAGAAGACAGATAGAGCAGGGGATGGACACAGTCATCTCCTCAGTGATTGGAGAGAGCTACCGACTCCAGGTAAGCTGCGTTTGCTGAACCTGGGTTGCCCACCACACAGAAGGGCCTGACCAGTTCATTCAAAGACTGTGTCCCTAAGCATTTGCTGAACTGTGGTAGGCCCAAGATGTCCCATGTTGCCTGGCACTATAGATAGCACCAAACTCTGTATGTGTTTTCTATGTGTTTTCCTATATTCATAGCAATGCACAGTTTTATCTATAAATTAGGCTCAATAAGAGATTAGAAATTAATAATTAAATATAACAATAAACAGTAATGAAAGTTATTTAAAACATACAAATGATTTCTTTCTGGAATTTTCCAGTTAATATTTTCAGACAGTGGGTAACTGAAATTCCAGAAAGTGAAACCACAGTTAAGCAGGGACTATTTCATAACCAGACGTTTCCTTTTCTACTGTGTCATTTTTCTTCCAGTAAAGTGGGCTTAGTTTCTGGAAATTTATTTGGAATGGAGTAGGAATAAATGTAATTATGGCCAGGTAGCTCAAAATCTTAGCTGGAATATGATGCAAAAGCAATGATATGTCTTTAAAAAAAAAAAAAGACACAAGGACTGGAGGTGTGACTCAAGCAGTAGAGTGACTATTTTGTAAGCCCCTGTTTGGTAAACTCAATGCCCTGAGTTCAAATCCCAGTTCCACCCAATAAATAAATAAATAAATAAATAAAGACAACTGTTTAAAAACTGTCAGGGTGAGATAGAAATGAAGAATAGAATGTTTTGGATATTTGGATAGTTAATTCTATAAACATCAACATGATAGTTATCCATGAAGTTAATTAAATGTGTCTCTGTCTTTCAGTTTGATTTTCAAGAGGTGGTGGAGAATTTTTTCCCTCCAGGAACAGAGGTGGTTAATGGAGACAGTTTGAGCTTTGCCTATGAATTCAAGGCAGACGCCTTATTTGATTTCTTCTATTGGTTTGGGCTCAGCAATTCCACTGTAAAAGTGAATGGCAAGGTTCTTAATCTGTCAAGTACAAGTCCAGAAAAAAAGGAGACAATTAAGTTATTTCTGGAAAAAATGAGTGAACCTTTAATCCGAAGGAGCAGCTTCTCTGACCGAAAATTCAGTGTCACTTCCAGAGGTATGTTAAAAATTCTCACAAACATGTGGAAGGTGGCTAGGGCCAAATCAAAGGGTAGAATAACTTAGGGGAGAGAAAAGGCAATTCACTGAAAAGACAAGAGGCTGGGCCTGTGGGTAGAGGAACAATATGATATTATGCAATTCAGAAAGAACTGGGACATGTTTATTGCCAAAAAGAGAAGCTGGGTGTGATGGTGCACGCCTAAGGTCCTGGTTACTCAGGAGGCTGAGGCAGAGAAGGGTAATTTGAGCCCAGGAGTCAAGGTCAGCCTGGGTAACATAGTGAGACCCTGTGTTAAAGAAAGAAAAAGGTGGGGGAGGAGGAGGGAGAGGGGAGAGAAGAGAGAGAAAAGAAAGAAGGAAAGCAAGAAAAAGAAAGAAAGAGAAGGAAGGGAGGGAGGGAGAAAGGAAGAGAGAAAAAAAAGGAAAGAAAGAGAAAGAGGGTGAGGAAGGGAGAAAGAAGGGCAAAGAAAAGATAAAATGACATTCCCTTTTTGGCTCCTTTAAATTTTCTGACATAGCAATTATATTGTGTAGCATGCCCAGAAAATAATCTTAAAATTGTTAATTTAAGTGAGTATCAATGTTCATTTAACTGTTGTCAGTTTTCAAGTGTTTTGAAAGAATGTTTAGTAGTCTATTGGTCATGATATATATCTGTACCAGCATGTGCAAAGGTTCTCAGATTTTTGTGAGACCACAAAAGAATAAGTCTTGAGAAGGATTCATTTAACAAACTATAAATGGCATATGGCAGGTTCTTGATTTTGATATCCATGTGGTTCAGGCAGATGGCACGGATCATGTCTTGTCTGGGTGTGTGTTTGCAGAGCCCATTCTCTGTCTCAGGCTAGTCTGGGCTGGAAAGCAACTTCCCTGAATCAGGACTTGGTTGCTAATTGCAGAAAACTGCCTATCTCTGAACCTGCAGAGTCCTCAAAGTGCGATGTAAAACAGTCTTCATTAATTGAATTTAATGACAGTTGTTCTTTCAATGCGCCCAGCAAAAATGCTTACTCAGCTGTTTCTTATACTGGCGTGGCCTTCCTTCCTCCCTCCATCTCTCCCTCTCCCTCTCTGCAACTGTTTGTGCATTTCTCTCCACATCTCCCTCTCTGTCTGTCTTTCTGAATCTCTGTCTCTCTCCCCACCTCCTTCTCAGTCTCTTTCTGCCTATCTCCATCTCTCTCCACTCCTAGTTGTCTCTATCTCTGTCTCTGCCTCTCTCCACTCCTCTCTGTCTTTGCCTCTCTCTGCTCTTGTGTTTCTCTCTGTGTATATGTTTGTGTCTGTCTGTCTCTCTGTGCTCTCTCCATGTTGCTTTAGCTTTCACAGGAATGCCTGGTGCTCTGCTCTGTTGCAGCCAAGCATGTGTGTGTGTGTGGGGGGGTTGGTGGTGGGGGTTATACTCAGATCTTTTCAGGGGGAAGATTAGCTCCCCCTTCTGCAGCTGCATCACACTTCCTGGGTCCTTCTCTGATACCTTCAGCCTCACCCCCTGGCCACAGCAGCCTGGGCAGTTTTCGTGTTTCATTGTGGCCTGTGTGAAGTTGACCATTTCTGGAAAGTCCTGGGTCCCTTTGGCTCCAGAGCAGTGGGGCAGAAGCCTTCTTGAAAGCTGCCACCTGCACTGCAGATGGCACAGCCAAAATGCACTTGTTGCTCTGGCAGGTGGGCCCAGCTTGGGTCCCAGCCTCTGGTCAGAGCCTGGGGCCACCAAGGCTGGAAATTCAGCTCTGTCCCCCTTCGGAACCTGACCTCCGTCCTGAGTACCTGTTCCCCAAATGTGGGCCTTTTGCCATTGAGTGAGAAAGAGTACATGTGTCTCATTGCAAATTTCCAGCTTGCAGGAAAGCAAGTGACAATCATGTCCCCCTGATAAAGTGAAAAAGCAACACATTTTTTCTTTAGCCTTTTGAGTTTTCCTTGGAAGCCAGGATTCACGATTACTGAAATGGTTTGGTTGCATGGGAAGCTTTTTTTTTCCTGGTAATAATGAATGCTTTATTTACTGTTTTGTAGGTTCAATAGATGATGTTTTTAACTGCAATCTGTCACCCAGATCATCTCTGACAGAGCCTCTTTTGGCAGAATTACCATTTCCAAGTGTTCTGGAATCTGAAGACACACACAACCCATTTGTTTGATTGGATAGAACATTCTCGCTGTCACTCCTACACACCAGGCCTCTGCCAGACTGCAGGTTGAGGGGCAAGAGGAGGTGGGAGGCAGGCACTTCCACCCCCTTGCCAGGCATGGCTTCTATAGAGGGCTCCTCTGTTCCTTCCCGGCGAGGTACCTGGCACGCCTGGTATATCTGGCTTCTTTCAAGCTTATGTTACTAGGGTAGAAGGGCGTTGGCCCTGTGACTCAGGGTGGGGTGTCCTCTACTTTGAACACTTCTCCAAAGAGGCAGAGGAAGCTACAGGATCCTGACACCCTGGGAGCGTTTCTGGCGGCCTCTGTGGGAGGTGTCTGACTTGGATATGACCTGTGATGCGTCCTGAGTCAGGGTGTGACCCTCTGCTTGGGATATCCTTGTTTACCGGGGTTGGCATTGCTTTTCTCTTGCAAATGTGCTGGGCAAAAGGCTGATGTCATTTTTCATCCTCCCTTGTGAAACCTTACAAGAAACATTCAAGGTCAGGTTTGCTGGAGAACAGGCCAGGCTGCCACCCACTACCTGGAATGTGAACCCCATTCCATCCTTCTCCACAAGTGGCCCTTCCAGAATAAAGCCACGTGGTGTGGTGCCAACCAATGGTAGGGGAGGTATAACGCATGTGGCTATGTCCTCCTTCTTGAAAGCACACCACATCAGTCGGGCATTTAAAATAAGCTTTTAGCAATCCTCATACGAAAAGAAAAATAGAGCAAAGCTGTATCATTACCCTAATGCATTACTACATCAGAGCGTTTTCCATCTTATAGCTCCACAAAGGAATTATTCAACAGAAAAAAAAAAATCTTACCTACAAAGAAAAACTTGCATGAGTGAGTCATTACATATGCTCATACTGGGGAAGTTTTACGGGTCCTGAGTACCATTTTTCTATCCTTTTTTAAAATGTTCTTGTATACACATTTTGATAACACAGTGATGGCCCTGCCATTTAAATTTGAAATGTTATGTTGTACGTTTGCACAATTAAAACTTTTCTTAGCATTCAACCTAGGCTTGATTAATTTGTGACCCAGGGTGTGTGATTGCTCCCTTGTGGTTTGAGGGCGGTATATTTGCCTTGTAACTCACCAAACTGAAATAAAAATTGTGGTTTTCATGACCACTTTCTCAAAAAAGAACCTTTTGAAGAAAAGAGCCATGAAAAAAGGAAATGAAATTTGACACTGATCTCTCCAAAAAGAGGAAAGTGCTCATAAAATCAGAAGATTATTAAACTCAGTTAAAAAGAAAGAATACTAACAATGAGACAAGTGTTAGGCCAGTGCAAACAAACCTTAGGTTCTATCAAGTATCAAATTTCTCAAAGGAAACAGAAATTCTGTTCACAAAATTGACAACTTACTTTGTTTTGACTTTTTAAAGTAGCTGAATTGAGAAAAAAAAAAACCAAAACAATTATTCCAGAAATAGTCTAAAGTTCTGGGAGGTTTCTTTCGTCATTAAAAACTTTGTGTAATCTCTGAATTAAATGCATTCACTCAATCCTTATTCTCTCAGCCAAGTTTCAGCAACTGCCTATAAAGGAGTTGCTAGTGTATTTTTTTAGCAAATATTACTAAGAGGTGAGATTGGGAAGTCTGTTAGATTGGTAACAAGGCTAGGACAGAGCTTGCTAGATAAAAGAGGCCTTTATCCTGGTATAATGTGGTCAGCCTTGATTGGGAGGATCCAGGTTCAAAGCCAGCCTGTACAAATAGTTCACAAGACTCCCATCTCCAAAATAACTGGAACAAAATGGACTGGAGGGTCAAGAAATAGAGCACCTGGTTTGTAAGCATGAAGTGCTGAGTTCAAATCCTAGTCCCACAAAAAAAGGGGGGTGGGGAGAAAAGATGGTGGATTACAAGCATCTACTGTTTTGACTATGAATGAGAAGAGTCAGGTAACACAGGAGAGACTCTTCTGGAGAGAGAAAGAGAGGAAGAGCACTGGGAATCATGGAAGAGGTGGCAGGACAGCAGAGAAGCACAGAAAGAAATCAAGGCAACAGAGAAAAGCAGCAAACAGTTCCAAGCCCCATTCCCGGCTCCCCTGGACACTGAAGAGAAAGCAAAGTTATAGTCACAAGGCAGGAGAACTGCTGGGTGGGTCAGAAAGCACTGAGACTGCACCCAGGAGCTACATCCCAGCATGTGGGTGAATTTGAGGGTGCAGAGTCTAGGGCTCTCTAATCACATGATTTCCATGGCCTCCTCCCCTTAACAAGGAGGTGAACTGCTGGGTGGGTCTGAAAGCACTGAGACTCACCACAGGGAACTGGATCCTGGTGTGCATTAGCTACCAAGTGGGTTTAAGGCTTCTGTTCCCAGGCCAAGCCTGCTAAAGCAGGTAATGTCCTCAGCCTCCTCCCCACCAACAGGGAGGAGAACTTATGCTTATTATTGGGAACTGCAAATCAAAACTACAGAGATTCCGTCTCACCCCAGTCAGAGTGGCAACCATCAAGAGGATGGAGGGGCAGGTAGGAAGGAACCCTTACACACTGTTGGTAAGAATGTAAATTAGTGCAGCCACTATGAAAATCGTATGCAGGCTCCTCAAAATTAAAAATAGAGCTGGGTATGTATCTAAAGGAGTGTAAGTCCCATGCAACAGAGATCCCTGCACATCTGTGGTTACAGAAGCACTACTCACAGTGGCTGAACTATGGAATCTGCCTAGGTGTCTACCAACTGATGAATGGATAAAGAAAATGGAGTAAAGAAGAAATGAAACTATGTTAGCTGTAGGAAAATGGATGGAACTGAAAATCATCATGTTAAATAAAATGAGCCAGATTGAAAAAGACAGTATCACATGTTCACACAGAATCTCTCTTAAGAAAAAAGAAAAAGAATGATACAAGTATAAAACTGGGACTGTTTGGGGGTAGAGACCAGCAAATGGGTGGGGGGAGTGAAGGAGAAGGTGAAGAGGGGGTATCCATGATCAGAGTATTTCATATGAATGTACGAAAGTAGAATAATGAAACTTATTATTTTTAAAAGGGGGGAGGGAGGATAAGAAAGAGTAATAGAGGGGTGAATATGACCAAAGTACTTTATAGGCATGCATGGAAGTATCACATAAACATCTGTACTATTAATATATGCTAATAAAAATTTTTCAGGTCCAGAAATTATTTACAGAATGAGGAAGTCAGTTTTCTCATTACTTGATGGTCACAGTTTCATTTGGGGCTAAAGGATAACAGTGCTCAACTTGATCACCCACCTTGATTATCAGATCAAATGTATTTTTACTTTTTAAAATATCCAATCTATCTTCAAAGAGCAAAGTTATCCTCCCACTGAAGAAATTGTAAAGAATTGTGTGCATCTGTTTCTAAAGGGAGTTTCTAAGGAATTTCAAAAATGCTTTAATCAATAGCAGCATCATTAAAATAAATTACTTTGAAGAAGAGAACATTCATTTGGATGGGTAAGTGCTCGAATAACAGATTTAAAATGTGTTCCCACTTGATATCCACTCCTTATATAGATCTGAAGAGAGAACTAACTATGGAAAGCAATGGTGATTGCCCCAATGGCTGGCCCAGACAGCTTCTCCTTAAGAGTTTAGAGAGGAGAAAAACTCAAATGCCAGGGAAAACAGAGATCACCGAAAGATCTAGGTCTGTGATGGCTAATTTTATGTGCCCAGCTATCTGGTCAAACATTGTTCTGGGTGTTTCTGTGAAGGATTTTTGGATGAGATTGGCATTTAAAGTAGTAGATTTTGAGTAAAGCAGATTTCCCTCTCTAATGTGGGTATACCTAAGTACTATCAAAGACTCAGCAAGAGGGA